GTAAATATACACGTTTAGGGTAGCGTAATTTTAATAAAAATAGAAAAAGGACAAGTTCTATTGGGTGTTCTCCTCGATCCACGTAATCACCTGCAGTTTAACACACACAGTTGTAATAAAGGAAGAACAGTTTTAGAAATATTATGAGACAGCAGTATGAATGAAGAGATTTTGGTGATCTGCGAAGAAAACACACTCCGTAATGAATAATTTCCTTCGGTCTATGTTCTTTTTGCAAAAAAGGGCTCGGTTCGAGCCAAGAGTATGAGGTATAATAAAAAATAAAATCAGCCCTTCCAATGAATAGAGTTTTTAAATACTACAGAACCAAATTTAACTCTGTCAGCTACACGCTTTTTGCAGTTTGGAACATTCTTTGAAAAATGTTGCCTTGACAAAGGAAATGATGGGCTTCTGAATTAGTAAATACTAACCTAAAAAAATCAGAGTTCGTTCACTAGGCCAGCCGCTATTCTTTAGTCCTTTGAACAGGTCAAACACGCTTCCATGCAAATCACCAAATATTGCAACGCCTTCCGGATCGTGAATGTATTCCAGAGTACTGCACTCTCTTAACAAATCCACCATCTTATGGCAGATCTGCAACACACAACCTTTTTTAAAACTCTGTGTTCAGCTGCATCATCTTTGTTTAGGCAGATTTTCAGCGATTTTCGTACACGAGCTTCGCTTTGTTCCTAGCGCATCCGTCACTGAGTTGCCCTAAAACATGTGGAGGTGCAAGGCAACAAACTGAGGTCAGTGGATAAACATATGAATAATCCGCAATAGGGAAAAGAGAGAGCGTGAAAGATAATTGTTTGGTGGTAAAATAAACTGATTTTACTAATCAGTACCTTTTTCGCGACTTCTATGAGAGGTAGAGCACTGAGAGAAAGCCTAAGGTATGGTGCATGTCCACAACAACCACTCACTGGTAAAACTGAATTTCGCTAATGGACAACAAATTCCTTTGCCTCTCTCATCCAGTAACAATTTTCATAGAAAAACGGTCACTGGACCCTTCCGGATAAAACGCTTGAAAATAAAAATCATTATTATCTCTATGGCGAATGTAGAATACGCC